AATGTTTATAATGCTGAAAGAAGTTCTGATCATTATCGTTGCCATTTTCTAATTTTGGTAGGATGTCTAAGATTGTCCATTAAACAAACATTCACAAACACAAGCTTTGGTAATGGATCATGCTAATTTGTTTAAGTTTCTTTTGTTCAGAAACGGTTGAAGCACAGAAAATCAAGGCTTATAGTGAGCGATCTATCCCTTTTTCTTGTTTATAATAATTTCAATATTTGAATTCATTCTTACTGTATGGTGTTTTTTTATGAGTAATTAATGAGTAAACATTTTTCATGTAGGAAAAAGTTGAATTGCTGGAGTTTTCACTAGGTTCATCCCCGCCTAGCTTGGGCCTTCAGGGGACTCGTTGGTCAACTTCAGGTGATCAGGTTTGGCTTCTGTTTACAGTTCTCACACTTTAGTACGTACGCTACTTTGGTAGTGTTGTCTTGAAGCAATTGATATATGACTACTAAATTCCTGACATCTTCATGTGCACTGCCTACGTTAATTTTGGCAGCGGCTTATGCGTTTGGGTTTTGACTGGGATACAAATGATATGAGTATTTTGTTGCAAGCAAAGCTTGCCAAGCCATTGATGGGGACAGCACGGATTGTTATAAATAGTCTTCACATCAAAGGCGACGTATGTAAAGTCGTCTCCTTTTCCAATTTCTCATAAGCTTCAGCTTGAAAGGTTTCTATTAAAAGAAATTAGAAGCTGTGCGGTTTTCATAATTTTGGTCGGTATATTCATTCAATTGCTTTTTTTTGCAGCTTCTGCTGATGCCGGTCTTGAATGGGAAATCAATTTTGTACTCATTTCTGTCAGCTCCGGAAGTGAGGATAGGAATTGCCTTTGGAAGTGGTGGAAGCCAGTCACTGCCTGCTACAGAGCTTCCAGGCGTTTCTTCTTGGCTGGTTTGACTCCTAAGCCTGAAAGTTAATTTAGACTGCTTTAACTTAAGTTGACCTGACTTATCACTCTGGAATTGTTCATATAGCTCGTTTGGATGTGCTTTTAAAATGACTAAAAGCGCTTTTAGATTCCAAAAGCACTTATAGTGTTTTTTGCAAGAAGCACCAATTATGTGCTTCTTCTAGGACGCACTTTAAGTGCTTTTCCAAGATTTACTTGCATTTTTACTAAGAATTAATTCTAAAACATGTTCACCAAAAGCATTCAGTCATTTTAAAAGCACATCCAAACGAGCTAATAGTCTCTTTGTAAATAATCACTCAACTAGATAATATTGAAATTTTAACTGGTCAAAACCATACATCTAGCCACATTTTCGTGCAAATCTTGATAATTCGAGAAATAATATATTGCTTGCTCTACAGGTTAAAATTTTCACTGACACGTTAGTTAAGACGATGGTTGAACCTCGCCGACGTTGTTACACTATGCCAGCTGTAAACCTAAGGAAAAAGGCCGTTGGAGGAATTATATACGTGACAGTCATTTCAGCAAGTAAACTTTCTAGGAATGGTTTGAAAGGAAGCCCGTCCAGAAAGCAGTTCGAGAGAAGTTCAGATGAGCAGTTTGTTGATAAAGATCTGCGGACATTTGTGGAAGTTGAACTTGAAGAGTTAACTAGAAAAACAGGTGTGAGTTTGGGTTCAAACCCTAGCTGGAATTCTAAGTTTAATATGGTGTTACATGAAGATACAGGAAATCTTCGATTTCATCTTTATGAGTGTACGCCAAACAATGTGAAGTATGACTATCTGGCGAGCTGTGAAATTAAGGTACTATTTCTAGGATGCAAAACTTAATTTTTTTGAAATGATAGTCACGGTGACGATACAGATTTTCTTTTTTTTTCGTTGTTTATGACAAGAAACACTTGATAATATATATTCTGTGCGCAGAAGTTATCATCAACTTGTTGAGTGTGAACTAAGTTGAAGTTTTCTTCCCCGTGGACAGGTGAAGTATGTTGAGGATGACTCAACGATATTCTGGGCAATAGGACCTCATTCTGGTGTGATAGCAAAACATGCTGAGTTTTGTGGAAAAGAAGTTGAATTGGTCGTTCCATTTGAGGGGGTAAATTCAGGGGAGGTAACACATTTGAAGATTTATGACCGATTTATATCCCTTGTTTTTATTTAATTTTAACAGTGTATGTTTTTTTCTCAATGCATCATGTAGTTGACGGTGAAGCTTGTCCTAAAAGAATGGCAATTCTCTGATGGTTCACATGTAGACAACTCTCTTCTTACCTCCCAAAGATCACTGTTTGGGTCATCAAATTTTCTACCTAGAACCGGAAGGAAAGTTAACATATCTGTTATGGAAGGAAAAGATCTCGTCTCAAAAGACAGATATGGAAAGTGCGGTCCATATGTTAAACTGCAATATGGAAAGGTAGGATTTTTTTCCTCCCATAATAGTTTCCTCTCACGTGTGAATTAAAGTCTATATATTGCAGAAACAAACATTATAAACACCATATGTTGCCATAACCTTCTTTCCAGATTCTCCAGAGAACAAGGACTGCTCAAGCTTTCAATCCCGTCTGGAATCAGAAGTTTGAATTTGATGAGATTGGAGAAGGTGAATACCTGATGATAAAATGCTTCAATGAAGACACATTTGGCGATGACAACATTGGCAGCGCACGAGTTAATTTAGAGGGACTGGTTGAAGGGTTAGTCAGGGATGTGTGGATCCCCCTAGAAAAAGTGAATTCCGGAGAACTAAGGCTTCAAATAGAAGCAGTCAGAGTTGAAGGCTCTGACGGGTCAAGGGTACGGAACCTTGTTTCAGTCTGTTTGGTCGTCCGCATGTGTATGTTCAATAATGTTCATTCATATGCGCGCGAATCATTCTGCTCTTACTGTGTGTGGTTTAATACGGTTTTGTTCCTCCTTTCCTCTTCTTGGAATATTTCAGGGTTCGGCAAGGGGTTCAGATAATGGCTGGGTTGAACTTGTTCTCATCGAAGGAAAAGACCTTATTGCTGCTGATATCAGAGGCACAAGTGATCCATATGTGAAGGTTCAATACGGGAACTTGAAGAAACAAACAAAGGTTTGAGCAGTCACATTTATGGTCAAATATTGTAGTGATTGTCGTTTTCCTCTCGTTTGTTAATTTCCCATTACTTTGCTTTCAATCTCTTATTACCTGGACGTCTTGCGCTCCAGGTTATGTACAAAACTCTGAATCCCCAATGGCATCAAACCTTGGAATTCCCCGATGACGGCAGCCCCCTTTTCTTGTATGTTAAAGACCACAATGCCTTGTTACCATCATCAAGTATAGGTGATTGCGTCGTGGAATATCAGAGATTGCTTCCAAACCAGACGGCAGACAAGTGGATCCCCCTTCAGAATGTAATAAGGGGGGAGATCCATGTTCAGGTCACGCGAAGAGTCCCGGGGTTGGAGAGAAGATCAAGTTTAGATTCTGAACCATCCATAAACAAAGCACACAAAATTTCCAGTGAGGTGAGATGATTCGTTTTCATTTCCAGTTTTTCTTCCTGTGCCACATTGTTAGCATTGTTTAATCAAGTTCCAACTCTTTTCTGACACGCGATTTACCATGAATTTGTTCAGATGAAACAAACGATGATGAAGTTTCAGTCCCTGATCGAGGACGGAAATATTGAAGGGCTCTCAACGGCTATGAGCGAGCTAGAAGCCCTAGAGGATACGCAGGAAGGGTACATGCTTCAACTCGAGACCGAGCAAGTACTACTTCTTAACAAGATAAAGGAGCTTGGTCAGGAAATCCTGAAGTCATCTCCTTCCAGTAGCAGAAGATCTTCCGGAATCTGAGCCGTTCACTTTCCAGTTTTGAGCTTTAATTTAGGTGGTTATATTTTCCGGTGCATATATAATTCAGTTGATTAACAGAAATACGTTTATGGATAGAGTATCTACATGGAGTTCTAACAGTTCACGTCCATCTTCATGCTGCGTAATTGTATATGGTCAATGATGCTTGATCTATTTTTCTCCGGCAATTCAAAGTCCAATTAATAATAATAATAATAATAATAATAATAATAATAAAATTATTCTAGTATTTTTCCTTTCGACTTTCATGTATTACATTATGCTAGCTTTTAGCACGTGACGGGAGAGATACATACACCCTGTGGTATGTAGTTTATACTGTTTCGTTGGTGAAGATAGCATGTCCTCGTTACGAATGGAATCGAAAAGATCCCTAGATTGATCAAAGAATCCCTTAATTGGTTTGAATTCTTTACTTATTTTTCTTAGTTTTTGAAATCAATCAGAACCTAAATGATGGCTTCTATTATGCATCAATGTTTGCTGAGTGGTTCATATCGACCAGTTAATTCTTAATTTATGTGTTATAATCAGTAATGTATGTCATCCATTGATATACTCGAGGATTCCCACACTATAAGAAACTTTTCTTACATTTCAAAAGAATTAAAATTCAAAAACTACCCCAATTCTTATCGTAAAATATCGTTTGTTAAAAAAATAAAAATTTAAGAAAAAACTCTCAAATGTTGTAATCTTATAAGCCATTCAATGTGTGAATGGTCAACCCACTGCAACTCTACATGTTTGTCCACTAATCCACTTGCTGACTCATCATTCCATATAAAATCACACATAAAAACAAGCCTTACGGCTGAAAAGAGAGAAAAGAAAGAAGAAAGAAGAGAGGAAGAAGAGAGAAGCCACAAGGCTCATGGCAGAGAGAAGAAAAAGAGAGGTGTGAATAGAGAGTTATCTTTGTAATCGTATTACTTCAGATTATAAATGAAAGCATCACTGCTGCTTCGAGAACGTACTCCAATCACATTAATTGTAAAGAAACCTCGTAAATTTTGTGTCTTGTTTATTTATTCCATTGCACACTCCGTTGATTTTACAACACCAACATCAATTATCCTCTGCTACAATTAACCTCTGTAAATTAGGGCCTGGGCGGAAGAGCTCTTCCCCGCCCAAAATTACAGATGTGCCCCCGATAAAATACCATAAGTACATATACAGGAAAAAATATCCAAAAATCTTCCCAGGAAAATCTTATCGTCTCCTCCAAAACTATACAGTCTTCGTCTCCAACCTCCCGTCGCTCCACCGCTTTCCAGGCTCCGACCAATCAGACAATGACAGCGTGCCGCCGTCAACAGCCACAGTAAGCTGACAATTTACTTCAATCTTCACCGCAAATGGCCTTCACAACCGCGAAAATTTCCGAAATGCCACTGAGGAACTCACTCCCACTCACCTCTCACTCACCCTCCTCTCTCAGCCTCCTCTTCTCGGCCCCAAAACCGTCATTTCGCATCGTCAAAACATTCTCCTCCTCCGTCAGAACCACCGAGCACGGCGGAAATCCGAACGCTAAACCCCCGCAGCACAAATCCAGACCCGCCTCGCCCGCTCCTTGGCTCAACAAGTGGCCCAATCGCAGCTCTCCCGCCGAATTACCCCGCCAGAATGTCAACGACAAGGTCAACGAGTCGCAGGGACGAGAGAAAGATGGCAAGGCGGATTCGACTCGGTACTTTGACAAGGATAAAGGCCAGAACGCTATTGAGAGAATCGTGTTCCGGTTGCGGAACTTAGGGTTAGGGTCGGACGATGAGGGGGAAGACGATGGAATCGGATTGGACAGTCAGGATTCAGCGCCGGTGGCAAGCGGAGAGGAGAAGCTCGGGGATTTGTTGCAGCGGGAGTGGGTCCGGCCGGATTATGTATTGGAGGAGGAGAAGAGCGTTGATGAGGTGGCATTGCCGTGGGAGAAAGATGAGGAGGAGGAGGTGAATGACAAGGAGGAGGTGAAGGGGTTGAGGAAGAGGAGAGGGAAAGCTCCGTCCTTGGCGGAATTGACAATTGAGGACGAAGAGCTGAAGCGGCTGAGGAGAATGGGGATGGTGCTTAGGGAAAGGATCAGTGTGCCCAAGGCCGGGATCACCCAGGCGGTGCTAGAGAAGATTCACGATACATGGAGAAAGACGGAGCTGGTGAGGCTCAAGTTCCATGAGGTGCTGGCATTGGACATGAAGACGGCTCACGAGATTGTTGAGGTTTGTTCAGTTCTCGAATTTTCAGTTTTTGCGGTCTTATGACCAATTTACATTTGTATATATGTGTGTTGAGTGTAAATTACAGTACTTGCTGAATGCAGCTTGGAATTGTATGTCGAGTTTGGAAATGAACATGTAGAAGCATTTTACTTTCGTAATGTAACTGACTGCTTGTAGTGATTGGTCAGCGTCGAACAGGAGGGTTAGTTTTATGGCGATCAGGAAGTGTCATGGTTGTGTACCGAGGGAGTAACTACAAAGGACCTTCTCAATCTCAAACTGTTGATGGGGAAAGGGGTGGTCTTTTTATCCCAGATGTTTCTTCAGCTGAAACATCGGTGACGAGAAGTGGCAACGATGCAACTTCAGGTCCAGATAACACTGAGCAAGCATTGAAAATTCCAGAGCGTGTTCATAACATGACGGAGGAGGAAGCTGAGTTTCACAGCCTATTGGATGATTTAGGTCCACGTTTCGAAGAGTGGTGGGGTACAGGAGTACTTCCTGTTGATGCTGATTTGCTTCCCAAAACAATTCCTGGCTACAAAACACCTTTCAGGCTTCTCCCTACGGGGATGCGATCAAGGCTGACTAATGCAGAGATGACTACCTTACGGAAACTTGCCAAGTCGCTTCCTTGTCATTTTGCCCTTGGTATAATTCTCCTTCTGTGTACCTTTCTTCAGTTTACCGTGTCAATATTTGACATAACTCTTTGTTCTTAATTTCTTAATGAAGGGAGAAATAGAAACCATCAAGGGTTGGCATTGGCTATTATTAAACTTTGGGAGAAAAGCTCTGTTGCAAAGATTGCTGTCAAACGAGGTATCCAGAATACAAACAACAAGTTGATGGCTGAGGAGATAAAGGTCTGTTCAACATTGTCTCTTGTCCTAATTACCATCAAACCTTGTGTTTTTGGTGTGACATTTTACCTTTCGTTCGTGTCCATTAGTGGCACTTTCAGGTCTTCCTGCTACAACTTTCTCAAGCTTATTCTGCATTTTTATTTGTTTTTCAAGTAAAAAATGCGAAACACCGTCCTTCTAATTAAGGAACCTGTGTAAATCTGTTATTACTTGTTAATAAGTTTGCCATTAAGCGCCTCCACCATTCATTTTCTACCAAATCTATGGTTGAAAAGGCACTCAGCTCTTTCGTCAAATAGTTTTAAGGTTTTTTTGTAATCTTCTTCTGATTGTTACCTACGGAATAAATACCAATGGGTACTGATTTAAAGTTCCTTCTATTTTGCAGAATTTAACAGGTGGCGTTTTACTGCTCAGAAACAAATATTACATTGTCATTTACCGTGGAAAGGACTTTCTTCCAACAAGTGTGGCTGCTGCTCTGGCTGAAAGACAGGAACTAACGAAACAGGTTCAAGATGTTGAAGAGAAAATGCGGATCAAAGCAATAGATGCGGCTTCTACAGGTGCAGTGGAAGGACAGGCACTTGCAGGGACTTTGGCTGAGTTTTATGAGGCTCAAGCTCGTTGGGGAAGAGAAATATCTGCTGAAGAACGGGAAAGGATGATTGAAGAAGATTCGAGAGCTAAGAATGCTAAGCTTGTCAGACGAATCGAGCATAAACTAGGTGTTGTAAGTATTTTCTCTATCCTTCTTTTAGTGGACGAGCCTGTAAGGGTCTTGTTCTCACTCCTTGTGAATGCAATAGTTTTGGAATTGAATCGACTCAAGTATAAAGATCCGGGTACTAGAATGGTGCCTTTTTTGTAACATGTTTTTATCCAAAATATATCATTTAACATTCATTAGAAGTATACATGTAGATTCATATGTGTACCTTAGTTTGATATTCTGAACTCATTGGCAGGCCCAAGCCAAAAAGCTAAGAGCAGAGAAACTCCTGTCCAAGATAGAATCATTAATGCTTCCTGCGGGTCCCGATTATGATCAGGAAACAATCACTGATGAGGAACGGGTTATGTTTCGCCGGGTTGGTTTGAGAATGAAAGCGTACTTGCCTCTTGGTAAGAAATCTTCTAATTTTTGAGGTGAAGATAGAATTTTTAGCTGAAACACTAATGGTCTTTATTTCATATTATACCAGGCATACGTGGTGTCTTTGATGGTGTCGTCGAAAACATGCATTTGCATTGGAAGCACAGAGAACTAGTGAAATTAATAAGCAAGCAAAAGACTCTTGCTTTTGTTGAAGATACAGCTAGGTTATTGGAATATGAGAGTGGTGGTATACTTGTGGCGCTAGAAAGAGTTCCAAAGGGATATGCCCTCATTTACTATCGGGGAAAGAATTATCGGCGACCCATTACCTTGAGGCCAAGGAACCTTCTAACTAAGGCTAAAGCATTAAAACGATCAGTGGCCATGCAACGCCATGAGGTTTCTAAGAAATTTTTCTTTCCCAGTTTTTTGGATATTTCGCTCTCGTTGATGTTCTTCACCTCACACTAGATCTCTTATGTCCCATGCAGGCTCTCAGTCAGCACATATCTGAACTAGAGAAGAACATAGAGCAAATGAAATCTCAAGTTGTAAGTTATATTATTTCTCGTTTCAACACATATCTGAAGCACTGCTGATAAAATCAGTGATCACTATATGTTTGTTCATCTTCATCTGTTCACTGTGCGATCCAAGTGTATGCCCCCTCTCGCACGGCCGGTTGTTGCTTTACAGCTTTGGTTTCTCCAATAATATGCATGATACATTTCTGTGCTTTTGTATGGGTGTTTGCTCACTCGCATGACCATAGCTTTGTTGATTGTGAACAGGGTATTTCTGAAGATGATGTAGATGAGAGTTCCTGGAGCTCGAGAGATCCCGAGCAGATTCATCGTGCGTTGGAATTAGTCCAAGTGAGATATCCTGTTTCCCATTGTCATCTATTTACTATCAAGTGGTCATGAGCTCCAATCAGATTGATTGTATCAAGCAATTAGAGTAAAATATTTGATTCTTATCTGCAGAGCGAGGACGAAAATGAGGATGAGGATGAGGATGAAGATGAAGATTCATACGTGGATTCAGATGTTAGTGACAATGATGAAGATTCGGATTGGGAAAACGAAGATTAAAACTTTCGCCCATTTTGAAATGCTGATCATTTTGCGAGCGTGAACAAGAACTGTTGACAATGGCAAAACATGGGATGCTTGTAAAGAATTAGCCTTGCAATGCTAATCATCCTGCCTGGTGGATTGTCTAAAAATGTGAATGGTTATCTTCGACTCGGAGCATGCGATGGATTCAACGGAGTTTTGTTCAGAGAGGGCTGAGTTTGCAGCAAGGGAGCAAAACATTGGAACAGAATGTTATCAATTGAAACTCCGAAAGTAGTTCACGCATCTACATTAAAACAGAATGGCTTTTAGCATATAGATAAAATTCTGATGTATTTCGTTGATCAACAGCTTTGTAGTTAACGTTTTCTAATTTATGCATTTGTGTATACAACAAATGGATGTAGATTTAACACCTAAGCTGATGAACTAGGCATTGCCGGTTGGTTTTGGTATTGCTTTCTCGGAGGAGCTTGGACCCGCGATGGCCCTGTTTGGTCCTGTAAACCCACTTGACCAGGCAACGAGGGAGCAGCCTGAGTGCTTGGTTGCTGAGAATTATGTGATGTCGGTGGCTGAATGCTGGGAATCTACAGACAACCTCAAGTTAGCATGTAACATAAGTGCACAACTAGGAAAACACTTCAAAAAGGCTTCCAGAGAAAGAAAAGGCATACCGCTTGAGGTGGCCGCGCCATTCCAAATACAAAATCCAGAAATACAGCCAGCAATCATATCAGTAGTAAAAGGTAAAATCGATAGTTCCTGAACCAAAGCTACGACGTAATCAAACCGATCAGAGACCAAGCCTAACAAATATGTTCTCCAAGCAATCAACTCTCAAACATCACCGAGACAAAATCACGCGTCAATTTAGCATTAACAAAGGTAAAATCTTGTTTTCTCGTTGGGAGCCAAAATGAACAACTTTCCTCCGAAGCTATTCGAACCATTACAGCTTTGAACCCTAATCATATAAAATTATCTCAACAAATCAAGAAAAAGAAAAAAAAAAAAAAAACCAAATTTGACAAGAGACTAAATCCTAACTACACAAAACCCTCTGCATCGTAGACAAATTTAAATATTTAAGCAAAGAGGGGAAAAATTCGACAAAATTAGCAACCTGGAAAAGAGCTTTGGTGAGGAGTGGATTCTGAAAAAGGATCTGCCTCGCCTGCTGATGGTTCTGTTCTATCAAATTCTGCATTCAAATGAACAAAGAAATCGAACGTCGACATTAGTCCTAGGTCAATTTCGGGTGTTTGGAGGGAAAGAAAATTTCGGAAGGAATTGGAGAAGAAGTAGAAAATACGAGGGAAATAAGGGATACCTTCATTTGAGACATGATGTTGTAAAGCTGGTTCTTCGACATTCCCGCGATGTTAGCCAGTCGGCCGTCGCCGGCGAGTTGCTTTCCCGCCATTGTGCACCGAGAGGGAGAGAGAGAGAGAGACGGAGACTAGAGTGCGCGCCTATGCGGTGTGCTGGTTTGTTTTAACGGTTAATAGGCCTGGGCCGCGGCTTTAACGACAGTTTATTATGATTTGGGCTGCATTTTTTTTTTTTTTTTTATAAGTCTGCTGGATTTTTTCCATCAGTAAAATCGTGGCCGTCGGAAGATTACATGTTGTAATATACGTATTTTTTTATTTCATATTTGTTAATAAAACGTAGAGAAATCATGGATAGGACTAATTCTAGGGAACTTTAACGAAAAACTTCTGGTACTGTTCATTTTAACGAAAAATCACATTTTTATACTAAAAAGTCAATCCTGGTACTATTCACTTTACCCTTTATTTTGTCCTTATCATTAAAACTCAAATTTTCAAGTCATTTTCATTAGTTTTCCTTAATGCTCATCCGACTCATTTCAGGTAAGTCCGTATAAAAAGATATTCATTGACAATGTTTTAGTCGATATAAGGATAATTATATTTTTTTTTCTGAACGTTGTTAGTATCTAGTTCATACATAATTAACATAAATCAACTCCTCGAAAGGCATTGCGTGGATCTGAATAGTCTATATTTCTTTTGAGATCTCGAACCTCTGCATTTAGCTACTAATTTGGTTCGAATTTTGTTATAATAATAACAAAAAATTCTTGTCAATGATGATTGATGAACTTTCATTTTCTTAACCATTACCTTCATCATGTAGATTACCTTATGAATTTTAAGAGAGAAATGTGTTGAGATGTTTGATCATGAGAAACATGTTTTCATAATATGAGAGGGTGCAGATTTAACATAGGGAGTTTTCCCTACCAGCATAATACTAAACTCTTCAACATAATTAAACAGACCCATAAACTAGGGCAAGAACCCTATTATTTTTCGACATAATAATCTAACATAGTTATAAATATATGGAACATTATCGAACTTTACGTACGTGCTTGTGAGTCTACTCTCCCTGTGGTACTGCATTTGTTTCATAACCAGTACTTCAGGATTAGTACAGTAACGATGCCGAACTTTACAAGATGTTATTAGCTTATTCATTTGATCAGGCTGTACACTTCACAACTTCACCAAATGGAGTCCAAATTGAATGGTTGCTCCGAATGTTGTTGTGGCGGCATCGATTCCATCATCTGATCTTTAATACTCGACGAAGAAGCTTGAAAATTTGAATTTATATGATCCATAGTAGTACTGGATCCAATGTGATGAGACATTGACGGCATCATTCCTTGCTGCTGCATATTATTATATGATGAGTAATCTAGAGTACTAGTGCCTGCTGTAGCTTGACCATGATTAGTATCTCTTGGTTGATAATTACTACCGTTATTATTAGTACTACTCCTAAGATGTAATGCCCTAAGAAGCAACGAATTCACCGAAAGATTTGAGGGACTTAACAAGCTTGACGGCCATGAAACAGCGTTCGCGGCTGCCTCTCTCGCCGCTGTTGCTGCCCAATTCATGTTCAAACTCATGTTGGTAACGTCGTTAATGTTGTTCTTGCTATGATCAATAATATTGCTGTAATAGCTTGGGGGTGAGGAAATGTTGTTGCTGAACCCGCTGGATGAATTTGCGTTAATATTGCTGTTTAGGTTTGGCAGCTCGATGTCTCCGAATTCATTAACTATTGAGTTCGTATCGTCGCATGGAGATTCTGTCGACGGCTGCTGATGGGAGGATGTGGTTGCTTGCTGTGGCTTTTTCAATGCACTAATGCTCTTTTGGAAAACTCTACAAACCACCCATTCTTCCTGCATATTGTGAAACCAATAAAAAAATTAAACCTAGCAAATTAAAGAATTATAAATATAATCGATCAAGGCCAAGTGTTTGAGATTGTTTCTGAAATGGCTAAAAACACTTTATAACAACCAAAAGCGCATCTGACTATTTTTTACCAAAAAACTTAGTGTTTATGTTTAATAGAATAACTCTCTGAAAAACACCTCAACCAAAAGCGCATCTGACTATTTTTTACCAAAAAACTTAGTGTTTATGTTTAATAGAATAACTCTCTGAAAAACACCTTTTTAGAAGAACCTCCAAGTGTTTTTCAGGTAAGCACTTCTAGCAAAAGTGCTTATCAGTAGAAGTGGTTTTAAGATAGCAGTCCGAAACGATCCAATTGTTTTCTTCTATAGTAATTTGTACCTTTGAGGAATTGAAAGGATGCTTGTTTTCTAATCTGTATTCATGCATGACCCAATTGCTTTTCTCACCCCTAGGAGCTCTGCCCTTGTAGAAAACTAGGGTTTTCTTCATCCCAACCAGTACACCTGTATGATGTATTTCCTTGTCTTTCCCAGTTGTTTTCCAGTACCCGGCTTCCGTGGCTCGGTTGGTTCGAAGCCCAGTTGGATATTTTCGGTCTCTCAGGTTGAAGAAGTACCATTCTTTCTCTCCCATCGAAGCCTTGCCTTCACCAATCACATAATAATTTAGTTTGTTTGTAAGTTGCATATATCGGTTAAATACGTTACTGTCAAAATATATTCCTATCAAAAGTATGAATATTTAAGCTAATTAAGAACGTTCTGAAAAATAGTATTCAAGTATATCTGTTGGTAAATTAGTATAAGAAATGTATGTTGTGAAACAATTTTTAAAGGTCTGATTGCATTTTTTTAGGGTAGTGTTATCCACATACCTATTTTTACAGTTTTACTTCTTGGACACCCCTCTCATTTTCGGCCATCAAATCTAATGAATTTAAAAAATCAACGACAAAAAATTAACATAAATATGTGAGAGGTAAAAATGGTGTGCAAATAGTACTATCCTTTCTTAACAAAAGATACACCGTAAACCTAAGAAAGTCTGAAAAAATGTCATGGGAAGTATGTATTTGGTGTGGTTGGTCAAACAAATCAAAGAGGAAGGAAGAGATTGGAACATAGTTTTCTTTATTCTCTTTTTTATCCAAGCATATTGAATTAAGGCTTTTTATATAAAATAGTTTTTGAAATTGGTATAACTTCTCACTTATTAGTCATTCAGATTTAAAATCAATAGAAGTTGTCTCAGAGTTTGTCCACCATCAATCATTTTGGTCATTTGATGAAAAATATCTGCTAAAATAAGGATTAAAATGGCAAAATGATTTGACAAAAATTGAGGGCATTTTTTTCATTTTATTTCTTACTTAACATGATTTTTCACGGAATGACGAAAATAATTGAGGGTGGACAAACTCATGGACCAGTTCTACTGATTTTAAATCTCATGCATCAAAGTGAAGAGTTATGCAAATCTCAGGGACCATTTTAGCTAAAAAGCCTTGAATTAATCTAAACGGGGATAGAGCTTCAAACTTAGTGCTCTAGCCAACTTGGCTAAGCCTAAATCTGCTCCTATACTATCCTTTCTTCCTGTTTGAATTACATGTAATTTTCAGGAAAGATTGCTTTACTTACATAAATTCAACAAAGCCATTAGGCAAATTAAAGAAAGACAGATTGTGATCATCATCCAGATCGTTACTAAAAGCCTCTAAGGAATAAGAAGAATGAAATATCCTAGAAAACTAGGAATAATCAGATGATATTATAGGAAGAAGGCAAACATGTGAGGCAGATGAACAGAAGAATAGGGTTGAACATGATGCACATATATAAACATAATCTATATATATATATATATATATGTATGTATGTATATACCTGGGAGGTCCCAAGGTTCACACTTATTGAGATCAACGTCTGCTACAGCTTTCGACGTGAAACTAACATCAGAAACCTTGGGGCACAAATAGTGCGTTATCAGTTCTTCATCTGTAGGATGGAATCTGAAACCTGGAGGAAGACTCTCTTGCATTCTTGATTCGATAAACAAACCAAATGGATTCGATTTTGATGCGAGCAGAAACCCTGGTACGGATATCTGATGCTGGCTAGCTTAAAAGTAAAGCTCAAGGCGATCAGGTATAAATGGTGTATACTTTGTGTTGTATAAACTCGATCTTCAAAAAGAAGAAGCCAGTCATTAGCCACATTAGTCTTTTTATATGTTGATAATTACAGCTAACACTTTGACAAAGATGGTGATTGAAAAGTACAAATTTTCTAATGGAATTAATAATTAAATTATCAAAAACACCCCAGCTACTATACATGAGCGTAAGGGAGGGGTATATATATTTTTTAGTAGTCGTCTGTGAGGCTTGAGATTATGGCATTGACTAAGACTGATTCAATCAAAGTGGATTTGACATTGTGTCATTTTAAATAAAATTTTGTAGAAGATGAGTGGCAAGTATTTTGGCACGAGGTTTTGTTTTTGTTGTACCAGATTTCATGTATTTTGTTTCTAATTCCATGATCCAGTCCAACCACCTTCACCCATTTCTACCCACCAAACCCTCTCTACGCTACTACTACTGTGAGTACAATGGGAACATGGTAATCTGCAGCGTATATCCCTTTTCATTCAATCATAAATTACTGTTACCAATTGACATCTCAACCAAGTTGAGGAGAAGTTCAACTCCTTAGAAAAATACACGTAAGATCCCTTAATTTCTTGATGTGAAATTCACATTCTTAACACACCCTTCATGGAATCATGCGTGACGAATTTTAAGTCTAAAACGTAAGCATTAGGCAACACATATTGGGAGCACATGAGCCGTTGGGCTCAACACATAGGTTAGCATACTTTAATATCATAAAAGAAGTTGAGGTTGCACCGTAAAATAAACCGAAGAAAGTTGAGGTTCTACTATAAAACCAATTGACAATATAACTAAGAAATAACTTAGCTCTTTATACACATATACCTGATAAGAGATTAACAATCTAATATCAAGTTTAATTAGTTTGGTTATTGTCTTAAATAAGATCAAATATAGCATATATATATATGGATGCATTCATGGCTAGATTGCTTGATATGCTGCAAATTTTTTAATTAATTAGATTGCATGTTTGGAAGTGCGTATGATCATGATAGTTTGTTTACAGCAAAGAATATTGCATAATTCACAGTTCAAAGATCTTTTAATTCGTATATAATGGTTGGCCGTAGGCTATAGGTGGCTTATCTTCTTTTTCTAATTTATTTAATTTACTATAACTATAGTGTGGGCAAAGTTTACCAAGAGTGGTTAAAATGGTGACCAACCCGTACGACTGTATGTAAGCGTTTCCGTTACATTTTTTCTTCACGCTCACCTCCTTTTGTTTTCCAAGCTTCGCATAAAATTCAATCCTAACTCCAACTTTTGATGGAGTACTA